TTTTTCTCTGTGTTTACATAGCCTGATAGCAACACTCGGGGGGTTGGGAGAATTCGAGACAGTTATGCAAACCCTCGACTACGTCTCGGGTTTGCATAACTTTCTCGAATTCTCCCAACGTCCCCTCGTGTTGCTATCAGGCTATATAAACACGGGAAAAAATTTCTATTGCTTAAATATTATTTTGAATTGTTCTAAAAGATAATCATCTAAAAATAAATTTTAATTTTATATATAACAGCTAAATAAGTGAACCATATGATATTTATATCAAAATTAAATAGCCCTTTTGTTGTGAACGAATTTCTTTAGATTAATTAATTTTGGCACATTTTTCCCGCCCATTCTCAAAGAAGGGCTGAGACAGTGTCAAAAAGTAACTAATCGTCGGAAGTGAACGTGGAAAACATTCTAAAAATGAACAAATCAACTTTGAAGCCGTTCCCATCCTTAAAGATAYCTCTATAGCGTCGATCTGAAGCAAAACTTCATTGAGCACAGTTGTTTGCAATCTGATCGAAACGACATTAATAAGACACCAAAATTCATTATGCGAGTATGTGACATCGTTCGCGATAAACTGTATAGGATGCGTTTTAAAGGCCAATAATGAGATCATAGATTAATATTTAAATAACATTAAGAAAAAAGCATATAAATGTTTGGTAAAAATGCAAGCCAAGCTGCTCAGAAGCCTGCATGACCCTGCACTAGCCAGTAAGCAACAGGTGGTGAAAGTTAATGACCCATGATCTTTGACAATAAGCTACATCTTTAGATAAATATTTCATTGTTTTACCCTWAATTGCGGCCTTGGAACCTCCTTKGGATGAYMACGGAGAAGAAAARCGATATCTGTACGAGGAGTTTGATTTTTTTTCGAATAAAAGTTCGAATACACAACTCCTTGAAGGCGCCATCTTGGTAACTTTATWGTAACTGTAGGGCTACCAGATCAACCTTGACGGTGATTGGATAAAACTCATTCACGTGAYTCKGCGTCTTTTAATGACCAATAGGAACTRGCCAGAAGTCTTTTTAAATATTACAAAACTACGAGTCCTCGCACTAACGGTTTTTTCCGCTTTCAACTTTCGATAAATTATTGCAAATTTATAGAGACTCGCAACCCTGAAATTAGGATGATATAATTTTTTTTTTTTTTTTTTCGCACGAAAAGCGTCATGGAAAAGCAACCATCACCATCCATCATCCATCCAATCAAGTCACTCCTCGAACAATCATTGCGTGCCAAACGCTACTGATATTATTATAATATTATCATTTAGCATCTCAAGCTCTTGCGTGCAACCAAAACTCGATCAGGAAGTATGCTAATCAGTATAAATGGATGCGGTTTTCGATATACTCTACGGTTTGTTGTTTGTTGTCAATTGATGCGCTTTTTCAAGGTTCAATTTTTCACGTTTTTAGAAGCTCATAAAATATTGACAATATTGACTTTTTAGTGACAGTTCAATGTCGGAGAAAAATCTCCTATCGATCATTTAACACTTTTTTCTCCACTCTCAAAGACCCAAATTCCATTATCAGTGCGTCAAATCCCATTTTCCAAAAGCAAAGGAAAGTAAATCCAAACTTCCAGTGAAGGACAAACTTGGGACCTTGACTTGAGGTGGAAATGTACGCAGCTTATATTTAAACCACAGGTAACCCGCGTTACTGTCCTACAATCGCTTTTTTTTTAGGTCACCAAGATGCAGGCGATCACTTTATCCACGGTATTTGTTTTAATACTCAGCCAGTTTCAGTCTACTTCTAGTGCTGAATACATAAAGAAGTATCTGGTTTWCGGAGGCAATGGATTYATTGGTTCAGAACTAGTAACTCTGCTACGTTTACGCAAGTCCGATGTAACCATAGTGAACCGTGGCAACTGGTACTGGGATTCTGAGATTCGTATCAAGCCCTTCGTGAAACACGTTAAGTGTGACAGATACACGATCAAATCGTGCAGTGAATTGATTGAAGTTATAGAGGATAAAGTATACTTTGACGCCGCTTATGACTTTAGTTTTTATATTCCAGAGCACCTCCAGGTAAGAACAGAGCGATATGGACCATGCCATGTGCTTTAAATTAAGTTGGGATCTACATGCCATGTATTACAACATACGRTTGATATTCTTAGAATATAGCAAAGAATTTACATTGGAGATGTGCGCGTTATTAATGTTTACCCTATATTAGTATATATATTTGTTCTTTGCGTGACATCTCGAACACAGACGTTATTTTATACCGGTGTCTTTGACTTCATCATTGTCAGACAACAATTGATCCGTTTGTCGTCAGACATACTGTTGGTCAAAAGTGATGCCTCGTGAATTTTAAGATTTACATTCTTTCAAGTAAAAACAATTGCAAATGCAAGAATTTGCATTAGATGTTTTTTTAGAAAAAACATTAAACTTCTAATACTATTATGCAATTATGATGGAAGAAGTTAAATCCAGTTGAAAATGGCTGTCACGACACCTCGATTTAAGCGTGATAAGAATAAGTAACATGCTATGAGGAAAAGCTTCGAGCTTCATGTAAAATATTACTAGTTTTCATTTCTGTTTCATTTTTATTATTAAATAGAGGTTAGGAAATTGGCCAGGAAAGTTAAGCACTGGTCCGGGTTTTTCGGGTGTGATATGCCGTAACATTAACGGCTTTCCATTGGTTATCATTGTAACACACTCAGTCCATCTTCCTTATGCGATTCGCGCATCACCAATAAATGTGTCAAAAACCACGTCAACATTTTCATTTTCAAAATCATGTCGTAATTATTTACCTTTCTTTTAATAATTACGTTTTTTTTGTTTTTGTTTTTGTTTTTTTGTTTTTTCTTTTTCTCCCATCTTCTTTTCTTTCTTCATTTGCTTTGCATAATTTTTTTGTTTGTAGCTTTTTCC